AGCAGACTGGTGCATGTGCTTTCAACCCCAAGTTGTGAGGAGAGGGAGACAAGGAGGAGAAAGGATTGTGGTGTGACCACACCCCATGGGGAGTTCTCCCTCCCTCTGTCTGGCGAGCTCCTGCACCCTCTATAGCAAATTAAAAAAAAAAATCTTAGCAAAGCATCAGAGACCGTTCAGAGTCCAATACCAACTGCTTTTCTAGTCTTTTCTCTCTCTTGACCTGCCCCAAACCCTCACGGAGCTAGAATGTTTAGAGCGTGCCGGCCACCGGTTTGCATGCACTTGGAGCCTACAGACCTGCATGCTTCCAAAAATTTCTCAGTCTTCCCTTAACTGGGAAATTCTCCCCTTCTCAGATCACAGACTCCAAAGCCGTTTCCCAAGGCCAAGACTGCAGACCATCTATGGGGGTTCTTTCACTGCTCCTCAGAGCAGTAGCTAGAGGTTTGAGCCCAGACTCCCTGGAAGCAGATGGCTGCCCATGGCTGGCCACCTTGGGGAGTACAGCTGGGCTCCGGTCATCCTAAACTGAGCATCCACCCGCCTGCGCCTGCGGAGCAGAATAGGAGAAGGGCGCCAGCTGACAAGGTTTATAAGCCCTTAAGCCTCTAAGGTTCTTACACCCCAAGAGGGGGTAGGTTCGCATCCCTGCTTTCTGAGCTGCAGACTCTGGACTTTAGATCCCTAATCCATGAGATAACTCCTCTCCTGTGAAATACAAAGATCTGGGGCTCCCAGGACACTGTGAACGGGAAATTTGCTCACCAGACTCTGAGAGGCCAGGAGGCCAGGGAGAGTCCAGGTGGTAGGCCCAAGGTCCAGCTGGGGTCAGGTTTCTACATGAATTTTTAATGCTTCCAGCCAGACCTGTCAGATGTTCCGAAACCTGAGCACCTCTGTTCATCTCTGTCCAGGATGCCCTTCCCTATCCCCATTGGCCCTGGGGGTGGGGAAGAGAGGGCAGGTCGGGGACAGTTACCAGGTGGCCTCAGGAGAAACAGTTTGGAGGGAGTAAGGTAATAATAATAATGACTTCATTATTCTCCCACTTACTAGCTGTGTGATCTTGGGCAAGTTATTAACCTCTCTGTTCCTTAGATTTGAGGGCTCTTTCTTTTCTTTCGTCTTTTCTTTTGCAAGCTGGGGGCAGGCAATACTGCTTGCCTAAAGCAGGTTGTTGGGGGCAGTAAGTCAACAGACTATGTTTTTTTGTTACTATTATCATTTCTCACACCCTACCTCCCTCCACCTATGTTTCTCCAACCCCAGAGGCTCTCTGGTTCTTTCTTTTGAAGGTGGGGACTTTGGCTGCTCCTGCCAACCCCCTACTCAGGCCCAAACTGCCCACCTCAAGATCCTCTGGCCTTTCTAGGAACTTGGGACTAGGAGGTGGAAGAAAGTGGCCTGAGCTGGTGGAGTAAGAGAAGGAAGGTCAATGGTGACACTGAAGCCCAGGGGCAGGAAGTGGGCCACAGAGAAAGGGAGGGGAGACCCCCTCAGGGAGAGCAGAGCTGGTGCAGACTCAGTCCTCCTTTCTCTCCTCTCTCCTCCATCCCTCCTCTCTCCCTCCCTTCTTTTCTCCCTCCCTCCCTCCTTGGGCTTCTCCACCGCCCCAGAAGCAGAGATGGCCACCAAGGGCAGAGGTGAGGCTCTGAGCGTTGAGGAAGGGGTGGGGGTGGGGGCTGTCGAAGAGGCTTGCCCAATCTTTCCAGCTCACCAATCTCTTGTACAGTGTTTCTAAAAATAAAGGCCTTTTGCATCTGATTTAAGTAGTAAGCTGATTCCTGAGCCCCTTAGACCTGCTGAATCAGATCACCAAGGCAGCCCTGGAATCTGCATTGTGAAGGTGAAGGTGAATCACGAAGCACTTTCAAGTTGGAGGGACATCTCAGAAGTCGAGTGGTTCTAACGGGCAAGCAGTAAATGCAAAGGGGAAAAAAGTGCCCTTCCTTCCCGACCCCACTGCCCCAGCACACACAGACTCCGGTAAATTACGATGCTCCTGCGTGGAGGGGTGAAGCCAGGGACGGAGCATAAAGGATGAGGACGACAGAGAGGAGACCAAGCCAGGGCGGGGTGGGGAGACACAGCCAAGGTGAGAACCGCCGGCGAGAAACAGTCACCTGCGGGGTGCGCCCCACCCTCTGTCCTTGGTCATCCCAGACGCCGAGTTTCTGGACTCTAGTGGTGGAAACCCTTTTAGAAGAGTCCCACCCGCGTTTCTGGGGTGGAGCGACAGAGTGGCGGGTCTCCTCCCCAGCGACCCGCACGGAGATGCAACGCACGGATACGTGTCTATACAGCCGTGTTCCTGGGTCAGAGCCCTCCACCACCCCTTCGCTCAGCGCAGGACCAGCGCCGTCGGACCTTCTCCCTCCTCCCCCAGCCCGTCCCCGCTCATCTGCATAAAGTTCCAATTAACACGTTTTCCCTTAGCTATTTGCGATCCCTGCTCCCAGCCTGGGGAGCGCGCTCGCCGCCGCCCCCTCGCCCCCCAGAGCTCAGCCCCATTAACCCGTGCGACCCCGTCCACCCCCATAACCCCGTCCGCCCCCGCCTCTCCCTGCGGCCTGGCCCGGGTCGGCCTGCCCCGCGGTGGGAGCCTGGGGGTGAGGGGCGCGCTCTGGGCGCAGGACTGAGCAGCTGGTGGGCGGCGGGCCAGAGGCCAGGGCTCTCCGGGAAGGAAGAGAGACGGGACTCTTTTTCTGGGAAAAGATGGGGAGGGGGACTTCTCCTGGGAAACTCGGGGCGTCGAAATTCCTCGTTCTTCATCCTGCGGCCCCCGCACCCTCCTCCTCCCCGCCACGCACCCTCTCCCCTCCCCAGCCATCTGTTCCACTCGGCAGCGCCGCGACAAACACGGCTCGAGCTCGCTTCCGCCCCTGCCCAGCCCCCTCCCCAGATCCCGCCGGGGAGTGGGAGAGCGAGGAGACACCCCGCCCCTAGGAGGCTGAGCTTTCTGCCCCCTTGTCCCACCTGGCCCCGGCCGTCGGCAGGGCAGGACAGGGCGGGGCAGGGCAGGCGTGGAGACCCCTCCTTTGGGTCGGTGGGGCTAGAGGGGACGCTCGGAAGGGTGGGAGTCGGGGAAGGCGAGGGGCGATCTCAGGAGGGCAGAGCAAACCCCGGGTAGGGGTAGACCCTGGAAGGGTGGACTGGTGGGAAGGGGCCTCGGGGACTCCTCTCCAGGGCCACCGCTCCCTCCCGCCCTGTCCCAGGCAGTGCCAGCCGCAGCCACACAGCGCCGCCTGCTGACGCGCCGTGTACCGGGCCACACGCCGGTCTTCCTGCGCTGGCCCTCGCCCTCTCTGAGCCTGGTAGGATCCGCGTCGCGTCCATCTCCCCCGTCGGCGTCCCCCAGACTAGGGGAAAGGAAGCGTCCGGGAGAGAGCGCAGTGAGACCAGGTCAGGCCCCTGGCAGCTGGCTGAACTCGTTCGTGGGTGCCGTCCAATTCTGATTTCGTATTTTGTGAAAAATGCGTGTTGGAAGTGAGTGTGGGCTCAGAGCAGCCAGAGATCTAGCTGCTCTGTGATTTTGCAAGGTCTCCAGATGCTCTGGATAAGTTTTCTCCTCGGTAAAATGGGTGGGTTGGTCTGTTTTATTAACTTCTCCAGAGAACTGAAGCTAAAAAGAGGGTCGAAGGCTTGCCTGCAAATGCCGTCGTCTCCCGGGGTTAGCATTGGGCCTGCCTCTGGGGCTTTTACTGCCCCGTGAGGGAGGAGGGGCAAGGCCTTAGAGGTCACTCCCTGCCCCGAGGGCGGCTGAGAGCTGAGAAGTAGCATGGGCTGCTTTCCTGCCCCTGACTGCCCAGGAAAGACCGGCAGCTAGGACCCTGAGGTCAGACTACCACTGTGTGTCCCTGGGCTGGTGACTTAAGCTTTCTGGGCTAATTTCCTTAGTCTACAAGGTCACAATACCAACCTCTAGGGCTGCCGCTGGGATACCCTTGTAGAACAGGCACATCTCCAACAAGAATCAGTGGTTGCTTTGTTCTAGAACTTACTCTAACCTCTATGGTTTAGGTTCCAGGGGCTCAAGTTGGTGTAGGGACTGGGCTAAATAAGGTCTATCTTCAGGCCAGTAGGTGGCATGGCAGTTAAGGGATTTGGACTCCCACATAGCCGACCACAGTTTGAGTCCCAGACCTGGTGGCTTGTTTTCTCACATTTTCTCTCTCTCTCTCCTCTCTGGTCAAATTAAAATAAATAAAATTAAATAATTCTTTTTTTTTTTTTGGAGAGGTTTTCGCTATAGGGCGCGTGCGCTCGCCAGACAGACAGAGACATAGAGACAGAAAGCAAGAAATCATCCCCCAGGGGGGATGGTCAGGCCGCAATCCCTTCTCCTCTATTCTCCTCTCGGGGTCTTGGGCACGCACGCACACGCGCCCAGCGTGAGATTTAAGCCACCGGGTCCGAGACACAGACCGCGGTCGACTACGTGGGAGTCCAGCGACATAGCCATTACGCTAACTGCTGGTTCCCGAATTAAATAATTCTTATAAAAAATGAATAAATAAGGTATGTCTTCCCAGAAGGTCTCTCATCCTCAAAGATGGTGCCTTCCCTTGATGTATATCATTTTAAAGCCTCGCTGTATTTTTCATCTGTTTAAGGCCTCACTCTCATGTTGAAAGTAAATGTAAATACAGTGCTGTGTGACATGAAACTGGAAATCTGTGTGGTCTTTTAAGGTACAACAGGAGACTACAAAGGATGCTTTCGTGGCAAAGTCTGAGCCGCCCCCTCGATTCTGTCTGAAGTCTCTGGCCCTGTTGCCCTGTATGGAGACCAGGCTGCCTCCCAGCAGCCCTGGGACAGAGAGGCCTCCCTCCAGACACTCAGGGAGAACAGGGAGGTGAACCAGACAGCCAGAGGCAGACGGGCTGGCACTCCAGCGGCCTACTTACTGCCCAGCTGAGCCTGGGGAAGAAGTGGAATGGGGGTGTGGGAAGACAGCCCCCCTCCACTCCCCCAGGCACAGGTACACACACACCAGCCAGTCTCTCACTTTTTATTTCCTCTAAGACCTGCAAGAAGCAGCACCAGGGAGGGAACCTGCCCTCCAGCCCCGGAAGAGGCTTACTCCCCACACCCTATCCAGGACACAGCCAGCACCTGAGGCCCCTTTCCTTCTAAGAGGAAGGTTGTGACATACACACACACACACATACACACACACACACGCACGCACACACACATACATTCTTGGCAGCTGGAACCTTAGGAGTAGCCTGTTCACTGATCCCACCGGCCCCCAACAGGCACCAGGAGCCCCCTAGGATGAAGACCTCCCACCACCCGTGGGACAGAGAGCCCTCCCTCCAGACAGTCAGGGAGAACAGGGAGGTGAACCAGACAGCCAGAGGCAGACGGGCTGGCACTCCAGCGGCCTACTTACTGCCCAGCTGAGCCTGGGGAAGAAGTGGAATGGGGGTGTGGGAAGACAGCCCCCCTCCACTCCCCCAGGCACAGGTACACACACACCAGCCAGTCTCTCACTTTTTATTTCCTCTAAGACCTGCAAGAAGCAGCACCAGGGAGGGAACCTGCCCTCCAGCCCCGGAAGAGGCTTACTCCCCACACCCTATCCAGGACACAGCCAGCACCTGAGGCCCCTTTCCTTCTAAGAGGAAGGTTGTGACATACACACACACACACATACACACACACACACGCACGCACACACACATACATTCTTGGCAGCTGGAACCTTAGGAGTAGCCTGTTCACTGATCCCACCGGCCCCCAACAGGCACCAGGAGCCCCCTAGGATGAAGACCTGGAGAAAGGGCAGCCTACACCCTGGTCTCCTCCAATCCAAAGAGGAAGAAGGCCCAGTCCCTCTAGCACAGGGCTGTCCTCAGTCAGTGGAGCATTGCTTTGGGAGAATTTTTTTAAGCGTTTTTTTTTTTTTTACCCATTTTGCAAGTCCTTACAAAAATAGAACTCCTCTTGGTATTTATACACCCAGGGCCCCAGCTCTGTGTGTGTCACAGGTAGAAAGGCCACACGGGCACTCCCTTTGGTTGCTCATCCAGGTCCCCTGGCCACAGAAGTCTATGCAGTCCCCTCGGGGCCACTGAGCACTTTCACTGGGCCCGCCCAGCCGGCAGCATACTCTCTTTGGAGTCTGGCTCGGTAGTAGAAGAGGGAAAAAGCAGGAATTCCAGGAGTGAGAACAGCAGGAGGCCCAGGTTCACCTTTAGGGCAAGGACAGAGAAAGAGTCAAGCAGGTCCCCACTGACCCTCATCCTCAGGCACCCTTCTTAGCTTCCAACAGGAAGAAGGCAGCCATCTTTACTGGAGGTCCTGGGCCAGAATGATCCACACAGCTGGCTCTTCTTGTGAGCAATCCCTGTTCTAACAGTACCATGTCATGTTTGGCAGCCTTGCAAAGTGACTGAGATAAGGGCCCACCTGGGCCGTGGTTAAGGCAGCTGGATCCCACATGGGTGACATGGTTCGAGTCCTGGACCCAGCAGCTTGAAAAACATGCTGGGCATGGATAAGTGCATGTGTGCCCCCAAATCCCAAGAGAATGGAGGAGAAGGGCTTGCAGCATGGCCATCTCCCCTCTGGGGGGTATCTCTTACTTTCTCTTTGTCTCTCTGTTGAGAGCACACACCCTTTGCCAAAAACCTAAACAAAGTAAATAAAGTGACTGAGATGAGAATACCCAGGTCTAATACGTGGTAGAACTGGTCAGTGCCCACACAGTAAGGCACCTTCCGGGGAGACATAAGCAAGGCAACCACTCTGGAAGTCTGGATTGGTCAGGCTAGGCCTGAAACAGAGCTTCCTGTATGGGTAACGTCACCCTTTGGAGATGCCAGCCCTTGGGGTCCTGTTCAGGGTATCACGAGGAGGCTGTGACACAGTTAAAGGAGCGGGTATGAACAGCACGAAGGAGAGGCTCGGTTGGCTAGTGGCCCTCACATGGGCTCGGATTCAGTTCACACCCCACCTTGCATTACTCAATCCGAGACTTTGCACAAAGCCATCTGAGCTCTAAGGGCCTCCTGCTCAGGGCTGTTGCAGCAAAGATGGCGTGAAGAAAGGTCCACAGTGTGCCTAGCACGCAGGGAATGCTCATTCGGTGGTGGTGAACCCAGCCTGATATGTGGGAGGAGGGCTCAGGGTGTGGGCAGCCCACAGGGTTGACAGATCAGTCCCAGGGAGGCAGATGTCAGTGCGGGGTAAGGGAAAGCCTTTCTGACAGCGACAGGTGCCTACTGACTCAGAGGGGAACAGCCCCTTTTCAGGGGTGCTAGAGAGAAGATCTGTGCATTGGCCAGAACTAGCCAGAACTAGGTTGGACCAGTGGCTCTCAAACACAGGCCCCAGGATCAGGACTGGGCCTCTTTTTTTCTTTTTGAAAGGTTTTTGCTATAGGGCGCATGCGCTCACCAGAAAGGCAGACAGAGACAGAGAGACAGAAAGCGAGAAATCACCCCCCAGGGGGGATGGCCACGCCGCAATCCCTTCTCCTCCATTCTCCTCTCGGGATCTTGGGCACACACGCACACGCACCCGGCATGAGTTTAAGCCACTGGGTCTGGGACTCGAACCGCGGTCGACTACATGGGAGTCCAGAGACATAGCCACTACGCCAACTGCTGGTCCCAGGACTGGACCTCTTTACAAACCACCTGGGAGCTTCCTAAAACATCCTGCTGAGGTCAGGCCAAGAGAGGCTGACTTAGCGGAACAGGGAGTCGGTGATGGGCAGCCAGCTTGGGAACCCTCAGACAGGAAACCTCCGAAGCACCTTCCAGCTGGGCTGAGAGGAATGAGGGATTCTACTGCATACAAACCCCTGCCCCTTCTCTCCCCTGCACCCAGGAAAGAGGCTCCTGCTCCCCCCACGCCAGCCCCAGCTCTCACCCAGAAGGCATCTCCTTTCAGAGGTCCCACCATGGCCATGAAGAGCGGCTGCTGGAGCAGGGCGAACACAGCGCTGATGAAGGACTGCAGACCTGTCAGCGTCCCAAAGTGTTTGGACGGGAACCTGCCCACGACAGAGGGTCAAGCATCAGGGGCCTGTGGCCCTCTCTAGCCCAGCACCCTTCCCTTCCCCTCCCCTGCTGTTACTCTGTGTTGGTAAGGCAGGGGAGGGCTCAGGCTCTTTGCATGAGCTCTTTGGTTCCTGGCCTTGGTCACTGTATGCTGAGACTTCAGGGTCACTGAGCTGATCGTCAACCTACTGTGTGTTACTAGCAAGTAGCTCAACCTCTCTGAGCTAATCACAGAGGGATAAACTACTCTCACTGGGCCGTTCGCTTTGTCCTTTCAACAAGTATGCACTGCTCCTGCTGCATGCCAGGCACTCCTCTAGGGGCTGGAGCCACGCGGTGACAAAGAGATTCCCGCTCTCGTGCAGGCGCTGCTCTGTGGAAGCAGGTGGCAGTAGGACCATAGGCAAGGTGAAGGGGAGGGTGTTGGCTGTGACAAGTTCTAAGGAGAAAGGTTATGCAGAGAACAGGGGTTAGAGTGCCAGGGGGTCTGCCACTGTGGACGGGATGACCAGGAAAAGCCACTGAGAAGACAGCTGGGTAAAGACCTGGAGAAGGTGAGAAGGCACGATGGTGAGTCTTTTGGATACCTGGAGAAAAAATGTTCTAGAAAGAGGGACCAGCAAGTGGAAAGCCCCCAAGAGACAGAAAGAGACAGAGAGACAGAAAGTGAGGAATCACCCCCCTGTGTGTGTGGGGGGGCATGCCATAATCCCTTCTCCTCCATTCTCCTCTTGGGATTTTGGCCACCTATGCACATGCTCCTGGCATAAGTGTTAAGCCACCGGGTCTGGGACTCGAACCATGGTTAACACATGGGAGTCCAGTGACGTAACTATTACGCCATCTGCTGGTCCCCATGCTTGAGGTTTCTGAGGCACCAGGTGGCCACTGTGGTGAGGCAGAGTGAGCAAGGGGAAAAGGGGCAGGAAGAGAGTAGAAAGTTCTCAGGCTGGGTCTTGTAGGGCCTTTTAGGCCAGAACAAAGCCTTGGGCTTTTCTTCTAAGCGAGATGAGATGGAAGCCACGCAGTGACACGAAGAAACTTATGTTCTAACAGGTGACTCCAGCCCCGCGTTAAAAACAGGCTGAGGGGAGGCCAGGCAGGCTCGGGTGGAGGCTGCTGCAATGGTGCGGGCTAGAGAGGACAGTGCTCAGACCATGCGGCAGCGGTGGAGGGGACGGGAAGGCCTCGGGCCGGGGTAGGTGGAACGCGGAGCAGGCAGTGTTGGCGGTGGGTGAACGTCAGTGAGAGGCAGAGGAGGATGAAGGCCTCCAAGGTTCCGGCTTGTGCCAGTGAAGGAAGCGGAGCTGCCGTCTGCGGAGACGGCTGTAGCCAGGTTTACGTCGGGGAGCTGTGGTCAAGTGCCCCATGCCGTGCCTGCCACGGAGGAAGCACTCGATAGCGGTCATGACTCTCGTCCCCGCTGCTGTAATGTCCCGGATTGCTCCATCCCCCACGCGAGGAAAGTCACTCGGCAGTGCCTGGCACAGGAGGAAGGGGGCTGGGGGCTACTCAGCATTATACAGAAACGAGACTGGTCGGGAAATCTCCACAGGGCAGGCGTGGGGAGGAAGCCACTTAGGAGCCATTCCGGGCAGCAGACGCAGGACCAAAGTGCCATCAAACCCAGTCTTTCTGCTCCCTCTAGGGGAACACTGACAGCAGGAGCCAGCAGTGGGGTAGGCTGCCCCAGGGGCATTAGAATGGTCTGAGGGGGGGAGTGGACCAGACAGCTTCCAAACTCTGAGATCTTGGCGCTCCAGGGAGGTGGCAGTGGGGCGGGTGCATTAAGCGATGTCTGGGCCCTTCTGACCGCTCTGGGACTCCGGGCTCTGGGGCAAAGCTCGGGAAGGCAGTTCTGCCCAACAGACTCACACTGCGGCGTAGAGGCTCCCGCAGGCAGAATGGAAGAAACCTCGAATCATGGTGTGCAGGACAAAGGTCACATACTGGGAACAAAGGGAGAATGAGGAGGTTAAGGCAGTGTGGAGGCCAGCCGAAGGAAGAGTGGGTGGGGTGAAGAGGGACACGGGGCCTTGCCGAGCCTGTCTACACAGGCTACCCGCCCCCCCCACACCAGAGACACCTCCTTCAAAA